TGAACGTGAAGATATTAGGTTATTAATATAAAGAAAATACAAAGTGAGAATTTTTGAAGACTCTTACAAAAATAAGCACTTACAATATTAGAAATCAAAAAGGACTCCAGAAATGGCCCCCTAACGATTCCGCTTACCAAAAATAGCCACACCTTAATAAAATATGGCTTAAGACAAGGGAGCTTCCAAACAAGAAATTACAACAATGGACTAGCGATTTAAAAGGAATAAATACCAGCTTGCTTTATAGAAAGTCTGCCAAAAGGCGATTGTTGTACCCGCAACTACCTTTATGTTGAAACCAAACCCCCTTCAGCTCTTCATTTTTGATATCAGCTTCACCTCAAAGCAGAAAAGCTTCCACGTCTTCAAGACTCCTAACCTCTGCTGCCATATCACTTAATCACCGGCCACCAACCTTACACCCCTCATACTTATTAAATTGAACAGCAGATAACCGAAATGGCTCCAACCCGGTAGCCAGTTGGATCTGCAACCAACAACCAACGAAAGAATCAATTCATAATGTATCTCTCTTATACAGGCAGGCTCCCATGGACTTCTTATGTTCAGCTCCAAAAAACACATGCGAGGATCCATAAAACTCGGTAGCTTTGGAAACACAAGGAATAAGCGTTGCTCCCCAAGCGAAGGACGAACTAAACATGTTTGGAGTGTTTAAAAAATGAGGGTGAACCTCACAGTAAAGTCTGTGGAAACACAGCTACGATGAAATCTAAAGGGAGCTCACGGTGGACACACCTTTTAAAAGAACTTATTATGAGCTACCCCCCAAGGGACTTCCAGTAGCGGAGAGAAATGAATGGCAGACTCTTTAATCAGTAGAAAGAATGTTCTCAGAAAATTAAGAAAATATAAAATAGAAGAGTCAGAGATAGGTGAACCTAAATAATGAACGAAATTCAGGAAGTGATAAAATTCACAAAAGGAACACTAATCTCCAGATAACCAAGGCTTAATGTACGAGTTATTAATAAATGCAGGGACGACCTAAATGTCACTGAAAATGAATGATAAATTTACTAATGCAAAGAGAAGATGTTTCCTAAACCAGAGTTGGAATGAAATGGATATAAAAGCGAGTTTACAAAGGAAATTAGGGTTAAAGGAGGGACCTTAAGAATACTTATGAGGCATTTTCTTAACGAATATTATGAGTAAAATAGTTAGAAAATGGATTTTGGCTATAAAAACAGAAAGTAATCAAGAGAATGCACAACCAGTGTGGGCGGGAAAATAAAGGTGTTATAGGCCTCGATATAGCCACACATGGGGACATCAATTTGTTCGCTGAGAGCAATAATAGATAAAAGTAGGAGTCTCAAGGAAAAACATACTGTTTGTTCTTTGGAGATATTCCACGACATATGTTTGATCAAGACCATGAGTTAAAGACTGCAGGTCCATGATTGACCTGTTTTTTAAAGGAATTACAAAGCACCTTGTGAGGAAGATAATATAATAAAATGAATGAAAAGAGCCATGCAATAGCAGTTAAAACAGCCTGTAGGATTATGCAGAACATTCAAATAGTATTGAACAGTGGGCGTCAAGGGACCCGTGCTAGGCCCAATCTCTATTGTTGCTTATCACATTAGCCATCAAATACAATAATTCATGGAACCACCCGGTATATATGTATGAATATCAATAGAAATCACGCCTCTATATATCATCATGGCATGATATCCTCGGGAATTGGCAATTGGCGAGACTATGAACAAAATTGGCACAAGCATTGTACTAGGCTGGCGGAAGAAAAATTACTACAATTTAAATATGAGAAGACAAATATATTAGAAATAAAATTTGGAGGACCGAAGCAGCCAAAGGAAACAGATGGCCACTCGGAGAGGCAAATGATAAAAGGATGTAGGGAATATACATACTTAGGTACGAGATTTTAAAGTTGAAAGCGAGGATACAAAGAAATGAATTAAAATACCAGAACCGATAAATGATCGACGTTTTATGATAAAGTGAAGTCATATCTATGCCGCTTAATCAACAAAATTTTGTAACTATGCCGATGGAAGCACGGAGTTAAAGCTTTTACGAATGACTGTAGTACCTCACTACTAGAATAATAGGAAAACTTGACCAAATCTCACTAGAGAAGAGTAAAAAAATTGGTAGAATAATTTCCAAAATGAATGTTTATAAGCAAGGAATACTTCACAGCACACAGCAAACGACCACTAGAGGACTCTAACGGAATAGAAATGGGAATATTGCCAATAGATAGACCTAGAATAAGGTTATTGTAACAAAGTTTAATGTTTTGCAAATATATTATTAAGTTAGAAAACGAATAGACTAATTCGAAAAGAGTTATTTTTAGAACCAACATTAAAGACAATTGCGAAGTAATTGGGCAAATGACAGCGCGTCATTAGAAATCATCTCGAATGGAGTATGACTTAATAAGTATAGTCACTTATAGACTAATTGCGTTCGAAAAAATTAAGAAAGAATGGACAAAAAATCATGTATGAAGGAGACTGATTTAAAAACAATAATTAATGAGAGAACAATGAGGTCTGGTAGAAAACAAAAATGAAAATGATAAAATACGAAAGCTGATGTAATTAGAAGCCATTACTATGGACAAACTGTCATTGATGACTGCATGCCTTGTGTTTAGGTGCTAAGACCTTAGACCGTGCATGATTAACTTAAGAAAGTATATTATTAAAAATAACTACATAACGAAAGATCTGATTTCGACTGTGCAATGAAAATAAAAAGAAAAATTTGGAACATTTTATACTGTGTACGAGTAGTTACATTCAGAGCGCTATAATAAAGGGGAACGGTGAAAGATTGGAAAAGTGATGACCCAAATACGTAAAACCAGCCATTAGAAATATGTTAAAAAGGGCTACTATTCAATTAGAGAAAGTAAATTAATTAATGCCTAACTTGTAGACATGAATTTCCTTTATCTACAGGATGCCCCGGCCACACTCAAGAGAAATCTGTGGCCTTGTGAATATACAAGAGAGGGACCCCAAGATACAAGATACAAGCCGGCTGCATTGAGCCCATGAGCGAGAGCGCCATCTGTCGTGGAGTTTGTGGCAGAACCGCAGAACTAGACTGTTACCCGGTCCCACTTCTCGGTTTAGTTACTAGATGGGAGTATACTCGAGGTGGGAGCGAGTACCAGTCTACCGTAGAACCTCAGACTGTGCGACCAGTATCAACAATCTTCATGGCACCGCCACCTAGACCGATAGTTCCTTGTCGCCCTCTCTCCCCGTCTTTTGAAATTTTATGCCGAAAAACATAGGGTTTTTTCGAACTTTACCACGTAATAATAATATTTCATTCTTTATGGACGTTCTCTTATGATATACGAATAAGGTTGTCGCCGGGCAGACATTACTCCCAACCCTCGACTCCGTAACCGTTTCTGACTAACCTTATAGACTATAGTTATACTCTGACTCGTTAGTTCTTAGCTCCAAGAAAACGGTTTGGGCTTAGAGGTTAGAATACCGGGTCGTATACGGTATTCGTCAACTAGGGTGAGAATAGTAGAATACCGTATAACAATCCGGCCCCAAGGATAAGAGAACATGCCGTCCCAATAAAACCAATGTGCCTAACCCTACCCTAACCCTAATTAGTAATTCTAACCCTAATCCTAACCCTAACCATATTACCCTAAGTCTAACCAATATTATATTTATATTGATGTAAATGACATTGGTTTTATTGGGACCCAGGTTCTCTATCCTTGAACCGACAATCCGTCGCACAGCCTGGTCGGGCTATAGACTAACCCTAACCATAACCATAACGATAACCCTAACCCTAACCCTAACGATAACCCGGCCTAACCTTAACCCAAATTAAATTTAATTAACACTAATACATTTAATTTAAAAAAAACATCACCTCGCAGGTCAACGCGAGGCGCGATACCCGAGATTTAGCACCTTACTCGCGGCCGGTTCAGGGAGTAATGTCTCCCTTGTGCAAAAATCATACAAATATATTTATTATGGAATTATTTAAATGGAAATGGATCATGGATGTACCAACGACATCTTGATTCATCTTAGTCGTAGTCACCTACAATACACTGTTTTGTTTATACAGAATACTGACTCAGTGTGAGAGTGACTGTCAATATACTATACTACAATAGTCGTAGATATTCATGCCGGTTCAGAATGTGCATACGCGATGTAAAATCATTATGTTAAGTGAAATATGTTTTCATTAAGGTTTCTGGTGTAAATTCAAAATTGACTGACAGTCAATAAATAATTTCAATTGCATATGATATAGGCCTAAGCCCTCTATGAGTATCATCATCATGCACTGCGGTCTGCAGTCTGCAATCTGCAGAGTCACTCTGCACTCTGCAGACTCTGAGAGTGCAGGTCACCAGGGCAGGTGTTCATAATAAACCGTAATAAAAAAGGGGCAAGCCCCCTATACTTAGTTTGGTTCATGGATATAAGCGCTGACTACAATTAATTTTCGCAATGTGAGACGTGTGCAAATATGGACAGCTCTTATAATATTAAATATATCCTTGGGCTCTTATATTCTTTGAAGTTAATCTCCAGAACTTTGGTATCATTATAGTCGATTTGGTAGTATCAAAAATTAGTATTTAGGTCGTAATCCAAGCCATTTTTCATATTGAATACCGGCGCCCAAATTACGACCGCTAGCAAAAACTAAAAATGAATTTTGTAATTTGGGCAAATTACAAAATTCATAAAATGCATGTTTCTATCGTTATGTAGGAACTGTTTTATAATAAAATGCTCATATAAGATCTATAATCTATTATCTGAATAAAATTTTTATGTTATTATACATCTACGGGCCTTATACCTAAACATTATTTTCGGCTCGTTGCGCGTGCCAACGGTCCCAAATGTTTTTTTACACTTGCTATGCTTACCATGGGTGCCCATATTAAGCAGCTAGATTACCCCGTATTATACTTATTTCAGGAACTTTTGCAAGAGTTGATTATACATCGTCCAGAAGATCCTTTGGATTTTCTAATTGGATGTCTGGATCAGCATAACCGTAATGGTATAGTTAGTTTAAGACAGTGTTTATCAAACTAGGTGTAGCAGCATTTATTATTATTTCATTTGTACAAAAACTGGTATACCATTTCATGCCAAACTTAATTAGCAGAGCTAGTATACAGCCCAGCACCAATTGCACTGTCAAGTCACATAGTGAGTTGTTGGGCCCAATGACTAAGATAACGTGTAGCTGGCAAAATTCTAGTGAGAAATACTAGTCTAAGTGATGGCTTTACTCATAACTTTCCACAAAGATGAGATGACAAACCCATTCTATGTTAAAAATAGTTAGTGCTGATTTAAAACGGTGAAGTCTTATTGACCATACTCAAGACAGAATTGCAAGTGTGACAATTATTATGACAAATATGTATCACAAGATCTCAAAATGATTAGGATATCGTAGATATGCATGCATCAGGAAATAGCCACATAGTTTCTCCATTCAGACTATTGCTCTAGAACACTGAAAGGGGCAAATGTGATTGTATCATTACCTTTCAGTGTTTCATTACTTTGTTAGGGCCCAGTAGTGCTCATAGGGTCTATGTCCCCCAGGGTACTGCCGGAACGTACCCTGGTAACTATCTGATATGGTTAGGGTTAGGGAGTAGGCGTAGGCGACTCGTTAGTGGAGTAGGCGAGGTACGGTCCGGCATATTAGATAGTACCAGGGTACATTCTGGTATACCGGACTGTACCCAGGGTACGTTCCGGCAGTACCCTGGGGGACATAGACCCTCTCAGCCCCAGTTTTAGTGAAAAGACTCAGAAGCTTTATATGCCAAATTAACACTAGTCTGTCCATTGGCATATCTGATTTTCACCATATTTGACCAAAACCTGGCAAAAATGGATATTATATTAAGTAGAGTTGAAGCGAGTAGAATCAGTAAGATTGCTTTTTTAAATTAGCACAATTTTTTTACATAGAATTGGCTCGTCGTGTAACCCTCATAGATAATTTGGATTAAAGCCAATGTTATGTGTGCCAATGCATTTGTGTTGATGGTGACTAGCACGATATTCCTTGTGCTTCAAAAAACGAATGTGAAACTCGGCTCAAGGGGCTTCCTGCTATGTTACAGTTCCAAAGGTGATTGTACTCGGACCACCTTGTTCTGGGAAGCGAACCCTGTGCAGCGGTCTAAGCCAGCGGCTGCGCTGCGCACACCTCATCCCGAAGCAGCTGCTCGATAACATCGATGATCAATCTCTAAAGATTATCGTCGATGAGTACGTGGCGAGTGGGACGGTATGCTGTTTAAATGAGACTTTTGTTTTCGATGGCATCGTAGTTGTTTTAAATGCGACATGATTAAATGAGTGATTTAGTTGAGTGAAATTAATATTCCTGCATGATAGAATCCTGTAGAAATATATTGTGTTGTAATCTACTGTATGTAATCAGAGACTAAATGCTCACAGCAACTACCTGGATTAATTCATTTGGATTTTCGCTGTAATGTCAACTCAAAATACGTGTTTTGCATCTTGCTCACGTGTTATATATAGAAATCATGATCATTTGTTGTGTCTCATGCAAACTATTACTATTAACATGTGCAGGATATACCAGCAGATATCTGGGTACAGGTTCTTCGTACTAGGCTCCAGGAGTTCGACTGTATTAAGAAAGGTTGGATTCTAGAAGGCTTTCCTCAAACCAAACAGCAAGCTCGTGCTTTACAAATTGCTGGCATCAGTCCTGGACACTGTGGTGTGTATACTGAACTATATCATATGTGTTGGTGATATTGACTTCTGACTGGTAGTGTTAATCAAAGCACACACACTTCTGTGCAGGATTCCTTAAATTGCTTTAAACTACTGTTGGTGCTCAAGTCTTTACGTTTGCACATATAAATAACCGTATTATCGTTGTTGTTGTTGTTGTTGTTGTTGTTGTTGTTGTTGTTGTTGTTGTTGTTGTTGTTGTTGAATTGTCGTTGTTGAATTGTCGTTGTTGTTGTTGTTGTTGTTGTTGTTGTTGTTGTTGTTGCTGTTGTTGTCATCGTTGCTGTTGCTGTTGCTGTTCTTATTCTTATTATTCGTATTCTTATACCTATATTTATTCTTATTATTTTTAGCTATTCTCAATGCACCTGACTGGGTTCTACTTGACAGAGCTAAAGGCAAATGCTGTGATCCAGAAAGTAAAGGTATGTATTCTTTATTCAAATATAAATGCTTGTAATTTACCATTATATTTGGCATCGGTTTGAACTACACAGAAATATAATAGGACATGCAATGGTTACTGTACTGTAAACATTAATTAATACAACTACAAGATTTTAATGGAATTTACAAACTTTGTAAATGTAAAGGTGCAAGTATAACAAGTAGCATTTAATAAACAAGTAGCATTTTGGTGTATATAGCCCTATAAGGAAATGGGTTAACAGAATCTGTTTCTGAACTTGGTCCTGTTTTGACAGATGTATACCACACTGTTTTCAATAAGCCACTTGATCTGAGCATTGAAGACCGGTTGGTAAAGCCATCCAGCAGTTCTGAATTGGAAATAAAAGCTAGATTGCAGCAATTTCATCGGGATATACGAGAGGTGGCCAGCTGCTATGAGGCCATAGCAAAGACCATCAGTGCTGATCAGCCCGTTAAAGAGTTATTTGCTGCGAGTAAGTCTATGCAAGCTCTTCTAACGTGGTTACATACTGTGTCGTAGATAAGAATTGGCTTCTTGATTTGTGGCCAATGCAGTACTTGAGCCAGATTTTATATTTGCAGAGACGTCACACTTCTTCATGTGATGAAATTTAGAATGTGTTTCATCTGCATTTTAGCACACAGTGTGTTATCTGGTGAGGTGGCGGTTGATTCGGGTAATTATTGCCCTCCTTCATAATTTATATTTGTAATCTGATGTTCAAGTAATCTGGTCAGACTTAGAAGGATAATTACTACGTGTTGCATATGACATGTTGACATTGGTAAATTGGTCCACAGATTTGACCAGATAAACTGATAATCACTTGAATCAGTTACATAGTTATTGTTGTCTATTCTGAACTGTATAAAATGTAATTACTTTAAATTCAATTCTTTTTTTTAAACCAGAATACAATAGTAACAATCAAAATAGAACCAAAGAGTTTAACACAAAATTTTTACACTAATAATGTGATTTGCCCAACCTCTTGTGAACAATCTAATAGCTTGTAAAACTACAAATATACTGGATATATTACTTGGTTTAGCAGGAATGCACTAGGATATAAATTTCATGTGCAATCTGCAAATAACTGGAAATAATTCAATCTTACACTTTAAGGGTAAGCCATTTTGGATAGGCTCATTATTTGATTCTAATTCTATCATGTCTCTTACTGCCTAGCTTGCGAGACTGCTTCATTTCTTTCTTGAGGTATATGATTTAGGGAAATATCTGCCAATCACATAGACTGTAGATAATTATAGTGTTAATTGGTAGAGATCTTGCTATTTCAGCACTGAAATATGTGAGGACAAGAATGCCAACTGGTGCACCACACACTCCAAGAGTGATTCTTTTAGGGCCTCCTGGAAGCGGAAAGCACACACAAGCTCAGTTACTGACAAAGAAATACAACCTTGTAACTGGTGAGCCATTAAAACATGTCACTGTTCACAGTTGTTGTGTTAATATGCAAGATCGAGTCACCCCGATGTAACAAATGTATGTGGTTTTGATGGTCGATTGTAATTCTTTGAATCGGCAACTGAAGGTACTTGCTATAATTACGCGTAGCTTATATTATAACTATGAAGTGATTGGTAATTTTTGGTTAGTATGTTTTTGTCAAAAAGTATATACTGTAACTACTGTATACATGTTTAAAAAAAATATTTAATAGGTATGTGCAATTGATGATTAATGGCATACAGTTTAAATTATGCATTAGGCTTTTAACATTTGATTGGATTTACCCAGTTTACATTAGCATGACTGTTATCAATAAGTGCTCAGAATTTTATTGTTATTTTTTAACCATTTTTGCATTACGCATGGCAGACCTGTTTACATCAATTTCAGTTGACTGCAAGAAGCTAATTCAACAAGCCATCGCTATTGGAAACAAGGCTGGCTTAGGAGCAAAGGCTTTCGTAGACCGTGGCATGATGGGTATTTATTTATGGATTTATTTTAATCTCCCTTACCTGTTAACTCGGTTGGAAATTTTACTTCTCTATCTGTTAATGTGCTTCTATTATTTTATTCTAAGTCATGAACTTGTTTTTTTTTTAAAGTCTTGCATACCTATTTCAGGGGTAGAAATAAGGAGAGAAAAGGAGATGGTCCACAGGACCATCTAGTTTGAAATTTAGATGTTCCTCCTAAATTTCAAATTGTTCTCTAAAAGTAATGCGGCGTGCAAGAAATTTACCATAAAATGGGACCAAAATATTCAATGGTCTGTTGGACCATTGACTTTGAAAATCTGATGGTCCTCCTGATTATTTGATGGCCCCGGACCATCGGACCATCGCTTATTTCAACCCCTGCTATTTATTATCATTAAGTCAGGGATACATTAGCACCTTGACCATTATAGTACATGTGTAGATATGTGCTTAGAAGCTACTTAGTTATATGTACTTAGAACTATATATTTTTACTTGATCATCTAATGGGAAAAAAACTGTGTTTACACACAGTGTCCGTGGAGATTATGACAGACATCCTGCATGAACGGCTGATGCGCCCAGACTGTGTAACAAGAGGTTGGGTGCTTTATGGTTTCCCTTCTAACAGAGAACAGGCACAGGCCCTGGATCAGGTTGGCTGTCCTCCAAACAGGTGCATGCAAATTATTGACAATTAACCACGTATAATAAATATATAACAAAGCAATGATATAGTAAATTTTCCTTGACAGTGGTTCTCTTTAAACCCATAATGTCTGACTGGTTTATATTATAAATATAAGTAAATTTTAACCAATAAACTGATAATTCAGGCTGGTTTTTTTATGCAATTTTAATGACTACTTTAGCTAAAATAGTGCCAGATCAGACACATATTTAGGGTCAGATAAATTACTCCGTGTATTCGCACATGTTTACGCGTGGGCATGTGGTGGAGCGTGCATGCGTGCGCGTGTGCATTCAGGCTTATGTGTGTGTGGGTCTGTGTGGGTGCGTGTCCGTGCTTGTGTGCGTACATAGTTGTGTATATGCTCATATACACTCTCAATCTTAGAGTGTTCTTCCTGGAAATGCCAGAAGAAACTGCCTCTGAACGACTCTCAATGAGGCGTGTGGATCCACAGACAGGACACGCATATCACCTTGTCTTCAATCCTCCTCCTGCATGTATTGCAGACAGACTAAAGCAGCACCCAAAAGACGAAAAGGTTTGTATAATAATGTATAATTATATGCTAAATATCCCCCCCCCCCCCGATTGTTTTGTATTTGTAGTGATATGCATATCTTTTTCCATTTAACTATTTTTTTCCAATTAACGCAAATATTTACATGATTTATTTACAACAATTTCATAACAAATAATTTTTACAATTTTTTTTATTTTTTAATAGGGTTAGGGTTAGGGTCACAATGCACCATAAAACAGGAGTTTCAGGCACGCGATTTGTATCAACCAATGGGATTTGGGAGGTATGCAGAATGCAGAAGGTTGCTGAAATGATGTGTACGCAACTGCGTATCTGCATATCTGCGCCTAACAAAGGTGTCACTACGCACGACTTAAATGTTACGTTTATAACCGTAGCAACAGACCTCAGATGAGCCCAGATGCTCTGCGGCTCTTGTTTAGCTCATCTGTCTGACGTAGTCAGATGCAGCTTGTAGAATCGCATGATTGTCCGTCCGTCCGTCCGTCAACAGTTGGGCACAAATCTTAACCGCTCGACGTACGGTCACGATATTTGGGACGTCGGGGGGGATCGTGAAAAGGACTCAGGATGACAAATTTGGGGATCAAGGGTCTAAGGTCAAGATGTGTAAACGGAGGGGGAATATTTCCCCCTTAACTTAAGGTATAGGAGGAAATACGGAATAGCGGCACAAATCTTAACGGCTCGACCTATGTTCTTAATATTCTGTGTATAGTGTGATGGGCAGGAAACCCATCACCAGTGCGAAATTGGAGGTCACAGGTCAAAGGGCAGTGGGGGAAAGGTCAGATATCAGACATTTTCTGAGGACATGGCCTAATGGACAGAGTGGAAAACTTTTTTGTTTCAGCACTGACCAACCATTTTTATCACTTTATTGAAAGGACCATGAAATGTGCTTTCCACTCACGTGCGAAGAGTAAGTGTCTGATAACCTTTTGACCCTCAAGAGGAGGGTTAAACATGGATTCCTGAACTGCCTCAATGATGTCAGTGTTCTCATATTCATGGCACATCCATAATCTAGAAATTAGCCAATAAGCCTGGATAGCCGAAAGGGTGCAGCACAGGCGTCACGGCTCAAAGGTCGTTGGATCGAATCCCATCAGATTTTTTATTATTTACCTGTTTTCTGTATTTTTCTATCTTTATCCATTTAACTATTTTTTTCCAATTAACGCAAATATTTACATGATTTATTTACAACAATTTAATAACAAATAATTTTTACAATTAAATTTTTTTTTTAATAGGGTTAGGGTTAGGGTCATAATGCACCATAAAACAGGAGTTTCAGGCACGCGATTTGTAGCAACCAATGGGATTTGGGAGGTATGCAGAATGCAGAAGGTTGCTGAAATGATGTGTACGCAACTGCGTATCTGCATATCTGCGCCTAACAAAGGTTTCACTACGCACGACTTAAATGTTACGTTTACAACCGTAGCAACAGACCTCAGATGAGCCCAGACGCTCTGCGGCTCTTGTTATTAGTACCTCAATAGACCTCCAATTACGACAGTTTTTTTTTGTATATGTGTATAGTGATAGTTTAGATTTTCATGATAGTCACCTAGCTCTGTATTGCGTCATATGTCACCGTCACACTTGTCACTAGATTAATGTGTCATCAATACGATGAATTTCAGCTGTGCATCAAATGATTTGGGACAGGTCTATATCCAACACAGCCAGTTTGTCATGATCGATGCATGCTGCTGGAAAATGCTGTTTGGGAATAAATTTGTGGTCGTTTCATTTGACGCGGTTCAAACTGGAGGCGGCCTTGATCATGGTACATAGGTCAGATGAAGAAAAGATACTGTTATATACTCTCTTTTCCCACTGATAACTCGATCACCTTCACACTCACATTGATCATCATCTGAACTGCTTTAGCATTTGCACACGCCATCACGATTTTAACTATACCTACTGCACCTGCACACTTTCAAATTTTGTATTGAACCCCCTTAATTGCTATGAATGCGTGTGTGTCACTAATTGGATATGCATTATTAATGACCCTAGCATGTTCAATCCCTGGTTTTTTGCTTTTCTTTAGAATGACGTCAGTAGGCAGCTTCAGCATTATTTATCAGGCAGAGAGGAGTTAGCCGAATGCTACCTGCAAGGACAGATTGTTGATGCTGACCAGCCTGCACATACAGTGTTCGAATGTATAGAGAGTATGATGATCAGGCCGTTGCCCAGGCAACTGTAGAGTATCAACTTGACGTAATATTATAGGTATAATAATAAGTAATAAAACGTCATAATAAGAGAAGTGGATCGACGTCATAATGCAGTTTGACGACGGCTGGCGAGGATCAGAATTTACAACATGGCTCAAGTTTATTACAATACTAGTTATCTAAAAATATATTATATATTGAAAAGGTCTACTGTTATAAAAGATACTGTATATAAATAAATAAATATATATATATAGCAATGGAAAGTAGAGTAGAGCCTTGGTGTTAAATGTCTCTTAGCATTGAATCTCAATGTGCCACTAGTATGATTACTATTATCATATGTGTGTGATGCGTTCCTACACTTTATCCTTTAAACAAACAAACCTATCAATGATCGATCTTATTCGCTATCATATTCAGAGTAGAGTTTAGCCTCTACTGGAAAAGGTGAAAATTTGTTTTACTGCAGCTGACTTTTACAACTTAGTATGTTTGAGTTCCAAGTTACCCATTGGATATAAACATTTATTATATAATACTGCTGCTAAACCTATGTAATTTTAACATATATATAAGACTAGCTGCGGGTACCCGCTGCGCTGGGTAAAATCGTGCTACTAATTCATACTACTAATAATGGGACACAATAGGAACATTGGGTAAAAATCGACAATAACATTGCACACAATATGAATATTTAGAAATCGGTCTAATAAGATAATAAGCATAGGGAAAAAACTGTTACGTATGACATTTATATGACAGCACAACCCAACTTAGAACCCCTGGAACATAATAGTAATATGGTGTGAATGACAAAAAGTTATTATAAGAGCATGTACGAATGGGTT